CTGTACCCAGCTGGCTGCACCCGGGCCAGCTCGGAGGAAAGGCTTTAATTGGAATCAGGGCTTGGGAGCCTCGGCTGAAACGTGACCTCGTTAGGAGGTCGGTGTGAAGGGATGGGGAGGGATTATGAGCTGGGACATTGTGGCCAGGGAAATGTCTCCTTGCGAAAGAGCCGGATCCCGGCACTCGGCACTCGGAGTGGTGGGGATGCCCCTGACTCAGCAGGACCATGGGCTTGGCACGGGGACAGCAGTTCCCAGCTCCCATCACTGCTGGCTGCAGCCCGAGGCCATGGGCTGCCACATTCCTTGGAGGGACACCTCGAGCTGCACAGGGTGGGGGGTGCCTCCAGCAAGGGGGCCATGGGCAGGGATGTAGCTGCCTGCAGCCAGGATGGAATTACTCATGGCACAGCATCTCCTTGAGCACTGGACTCCATCCCCTCCCAGCAGCCAGCATGTGGGGACCAGATTTCTTTCCATCCTGCCAGGCAATCCCATGGTGTTCCACATCAGTGGTGCTGGCAGGCAGAGGCTCACAGTGAGCTGTGCCAGGTGTGCCCCACCTTGAGGGCCACCCTTGCCCATCCAGGGGCACCTTATCAGCACCTTGCTCACCCTAATGCTGGGAAAGGGGTGACACACATGGAGGTGACTCCAAGGGCCAGAAGTCCAAGCCAAGGGTTTTGCTGGGTCCAAGTCCAGCTCCCCACCACCCCCAACTGGATGGGAAGGCAGCCCCTGCCCATGCTGTATCCATGGGAATGTCACCAGCGAGCTCAGGCCCTGCACACACTGGGGCTCTGCATAAACCAATGTCAGCCAAGCACAGCTGGACACTGGGGAGTGGTCCCCATCCCTACAGCATCAATGGGACCCTGACCTCAGCCACGGCTTCAGACTAAGCCTCCAGTGAGGTGAGGGACCCCAGGGCCACCTCCTGAGTGGGACAGCCCAGGAGCAAGTCATCTAAAGAGATGATTTTCCACTGAAAATGTTGTTTGTCCCATTGTCCCTCTTCCCCTCTCAACCTGGACCTACTGCAGTGGGGACAGTGCAGGGGACAGCCCATGTGTGGCAGCCCCAGATCCACCCACAGCATCACGGCAAGAGCCTCCACAGCCAGCAGCACAGGCTGTCCTTGCACTGCCAGCCCCGAGCCCTCAGAGGTAACAAACTGGCATCCCCCAGCACCCCAGGAAGGTCTGGAGACACCCCCATGGTCCTGGTCCCTTTCCTGGGGCTGGGACCTAGATGGCAGCAGGGCCGAGGCTCCTTAAGGATCATAACTCTGCTCCAGTGCAGGAAACAGGAGTGGGCTAGGATCCCTGCTGCTGCTTGTGGCCACAGGCCCTGCTGGGGGGCAGCCAGCAGAGCTGCTGGGGCTGGAGCTGGGCTGGGATGCTGGGACTGGAGCTGGAGTTGGGCTGGGATGTGCTGGGCTGGGATGTGCTGCCTGGGGTGGGCTCCTCTCACTGAGGCTCTCCTGCCTCCAGCAGCTTGTTTGGATGCACGGGGATGGGGGCCCTGCCTGCATGGGGCTGCCCTCCTCCTCAGGATGCATTGGGGAGCAGTCAGGTGGCAGCATGGCCCCTGGAGGACACAGAACCTGCCACTGTCTCTCCATGGGCACGGCTGCCCGGGGACAGGCAGAGCTGGCAACTGACCCAGGGCTGGGAGGGGAAGGTGCCCAGAGCAGCCTGGTCTGGCAAAGGGGTGCTGAGCTCCCCCAGGCTGATCTGGGCTGGGGCTGAGCCCTGTCCAGGTGGGCAGTGGGGACAGAGATCTGCCTGGAGCCCCCAGCAGCCTCAGCTACAGCTCCTTGAGCCAGGACACCTGGCCCAGGTGAATGCCAGGCCCAACACCAGGAGCCACAGAAACCAGACTGTCCCTGCAAGGGCTGTGCCTTGTGCCAGCAGGAGCTGGCAGGGACATCCCAGGGTGGCCTGGCCCAGAGCATGTCCCCAAACGTGACCCTTCCTACCTTACACAGCCGGGGGAGGCACAGAGGCACAGCACTGTCCACACGAGCGGGGACAATGCTCAGATCACCCCAGAAGCTGCCCAGGGTGCCACAGGCAGGGCATAGCAGAGCCCCCAGCTCTGTCCTGCTGTCCCAGGGCCAGCACGGGCACTGCCAGCTCCGGGGCACTGCGGGCACCGTGCCTCAGCCTCGGGGAACGGTGCATCCTCCTCCTGGCTGCTGGGGATCCTGCACCCACAGTGAAGCCACTCTGCCGGCTGTGGAGCTTACCTGGGAGCTTAGGAGCTTTGATGGGATAACCCAGAGGGACACCGGGCTGCTGACCTCCAAAACCTCCCAGTCCTGCAAACCAACAGCAGATGCTCACCTGGAGCCTGCGCCACAGCTGCCACCAGTCCCGGAGGGAGGGGGGTGCCCCAGGGCACCCTGGCACAGGAGAGGGAGTGGCTTGGGAAGCCCTGAGGCATCTTCTGGTGTGGGGAGACCATGGCTGTGAGGAAGAGGCTTGGGAAGGAAGAGAAGGACAGGCAAGAGAGATGGGGCACTCACCGGGAATTCCTCCAAAGGCTCCAGCTCCTAAAAGGAAACACAAAGACACCTGTGTGAGCCCTGGGCTGCTCCTGGAGGCCCAAATTAACCGAAGTGGGTTCAGCCATAGGTTGGCTTCACTGCCAAGTGCCCTGTAGGGCTGTGATCCCAAAGGCTGGGCTGGGGTGCCGAGCTGGAGCCAGCCCTGATCCAGCCCCAGTGTTCCAAGGGGATGAGGGGACCTACCTGGGGCTTTAGGCTTGACTCCAGCTCCAGTGGGGACCCCGGGCAGCACTCCCACGCCAGGGAAGCGAACACCTGGAGCAGAGACCAGAAGGGTGAGCTGGGGCCTCACTGGGGGTGTTACTGGTACCCAAGACCCCCACAACCAGCTTTCAAATCCCTGTCACCATGGCAACCTCATCCTTGGAGCCTTGCTGGCACTGCCCTGTGCCAGCTGCCTGCACCTCAGCTGCCAGGAGGGGTTTGCTCCAGGCGTGGAGCTGCCTGTGGAACAGACTGGGAGCCTGCAGAGGACATGGCACTCCAAAGGGGTCCCACTGGTGACACCAAAGCCCCAGCCAGGCCTGGGCAGTGCTCCCTGCCCTGCTGATGCTCGGTGGCCTGGGGCCAGACAGGGCTCTTGAGCCCTCCAGGGCAGCAGACAGTCTTGTGGCCTTGGAATCGTTTGGGTTGGATTTTTGGGTTTTGAGTTTCTTTTTGGTTTGGGGTTCTTTTTCCCCTTCTTACAAATGTCTTTCATTATAACTCAAGCATTTTCAGACATGGAAAAGACATTCCTGACCAGCAACACACTTCGGACAGTGTCGAAACATCTTGTTTTCACAAGTTTTCCTCCCCCAAATTACTTTGCACTGAGGAATTCCTCTCTCCCGCCACCTCCCCCTCCTCCCCTCGGCCAGCCCTGGTGGCTGTGCCAGCTCCTCTCCCAGCGCTGGTGTTGCCTGCCCCCGCCATGCTTGGCACGGGATGGAGCTGCCGGGTCCCCCCGTGCCTTTGGCACGGTGGAAATGTAACTGTAGCCTCAGCCAGGGGGTTTGGAAGCTGTGGGGAGCAGCAGGACGCAGGCAGGCGGCAGCACAGGGTGCTCTCCCCATGTGGGTGCTGCTGGCAGGGTGGGGACACCCTCGGAGTTGGGGTGCTGATGGTGGGGAACCCCTCGGAGTTGGGGTGCTGCTGGCAGGGTGGGGAACCCCTCGGAGTTGAGGTGCTGACGGTGGGGTGGGCACCCCCAGCTCACCTGCGCCGGGGAGCACGCCGCCCGGAAAAGCTCCAGGAATCCCAGCACCTGCAGGCAAAAGAGATTCAGGGATGAGGGCCCGGCTAGAATCGCTCCCCGCCCCGGCCCCCACGCCGGGGCCGTCACCTACCTGGTATTTTAGGGGGTTTCCCTGCCGCGCCAAGGCCGGGCTGCACCGCGCCCGGTACCACGGCACCTGCGGGCAGCAGAGAGCCCTGAGCCCCGGCCCGGCTCCTGCCCACCCCAGGGACAGCTCTGCCCCAGGCTCGGCTCTGCTGGGAGCGAGGGGTATTTCCTACCTGTGGAGACCCCGAGGCCACCAGGACCACCAATTCCACCCACGCCTCCAATGCCAGCACCTGGGGGCATTGGGAAGAGGGGTGTACCTGCGGCTGGCTGGAACGGTGCCAGAGAGGGGACAAGCTCAGGATGGCCCTTGGTGGGGGATGAAGGGGACACCCTGAGACAGCCCCAGGGCTGGGTTCCCCATACTGGGCACAGGGACCAGGCAGTTGTGTGGTCTGTGCTCCCGGGGGCTCAGGTTTGGCCAATTCCCCGCACCTGGGACCCTCCAAGTCACTGGGGAGCCCAGTGAGAGCATCAGCTCTGGCTCCAGGGGAATCTGTGCTGGCCCAGATGCCCAGGGGACACCCCTGGGGGCTGCCCGAGCCCACCCTGCCCAGACCCCCCCAGCACTCACCAGCTTTGGCTGCAGCCTTGAGCGCCGCGGCCGAGGCGGCTCCCGGGAACGCCGCCCCGGGGAAGGCTCCAGGGAACAGACCCGCAGCACCTGTGGGGAGAACAGCCAGCATCAGCACCCCGAAAAACCAGCTGCCGACAGGGTGTCCTGCCCCTTGGTGAGCACAGGGGCTGCTGAGCCATGGGGGCTGCGTGGCACTGCCAGGGCTGGCGTTAGGCTGGGCAAGGTGGCGTTAGCAGGCATTGCCCTGTCCTGCATCCCCCAGATTCACACTCCCATTCACATCCCACCTGGCACACACACCTGACACCCCTGCAGTGGGTGCTGACACCCCTGCAGGCCCTGGCTGACCCCCGCAGGCTCTGTCCCTCTGCTGCTGGCCCTGCAGGGACCCCAGGTGCCTCCTCTCCTGCAGGGTCACCCCGCTGTGGTTGATGCCATCATGCTGGGGGCCCTCGGGGCTGCCTGCTGGGTGCCTGGGGTCCCTTAGGGTCTGGGAAGGGCACCCAGCCCAGATGGGGGAGAGCTGTGGAGATGGGGACAAGGGATGTGCTGTCCCCAAGGTGGGTCTCTGGGGACATCACCCCAGGGATGGCCCAATCAGGGAGGGACAGTGGTCAGTGCTCACCTGGCTGCAGGCCAAGGGGGCCGAGTCCCCCAAGTCCTCCGACCCCCCCAAGTCCTCCGACCCCTAGGAAGAGAAGCGGGGTGAGGTGGGAGGTGGTCAGGCCCAGGGGAACAGAGGAGTCCCTGTGGCACCGTGGGGATGGGAGAACAGCCCAGGGACGGGCACAGGGGTCGGTGACAAAAGTCCTCGCCAGCACTCGGGTCCTCCATCCCGTCCCTCTACCTCACCCACCCCCCGTCCTGCCGGGCCACAGGGGGACAGAACCAAAATGTTTATGGCTTAGGAATGAGTCCCTGGGTCTCCGGCCAGCGCTGCCTTCCAACATCTGGGGCTCATCAGCCCTCGCTC